CCAGCCACGTTGTAGCTACGCGACCGATGGAACACCATCGCAAGCCACCCATCTGAAAAGATCGACTGTTGGCTTCTGGAAATGGTATGGAAGGAGAGGTATTCGGTTGGATGTGGTTCCGTGTTCGGCGGTGTACCAAACTCCAACTCGCAATGCGCCCGCTTGCAAGATCGCGCGCTTCCGCCGGGTCGGTGTCAGGTTCCAGGATTCCGGAGCGCCGGCCTACCTTCAGCATTGGCTCGCTTCTTCCGCATTTTATATTCAGCCTTCGCCACGCGCATCAACAACTCTTCGTCTTTGATGGGGATCCACGATGTCAACACCTTCATTGCGTTCTCGAAGTCAGAGTCCAGCAAGATTTCTCTCGTCGCGTCAATAAGCGCAGCCGATGTTGCATGCAACACGTCCATGTCTCCACTGAAGTTGGATGTCGGCGAGTTGGAATGAGATTTGTCCCCCAGTAGCATAAAGACGTCCCAGACGCGTAGCTGAGCTGGAAAAGGTAACGAATAGTTGAACAGCGTCAGGTACCACCGGGTACCGTACGCGGTCGAGGTAATGCCAAGATCAGTCTACAGAAGAGTTTGATTAGCATGTACACCAAGACGTCAGCCTCTTCGGTAATGACTTACTAGCTTCTTTGCGACATCACCTCCCCGCAGCCAGTTCAGCTCAAAGTCATCTAGAGCCTCCATGAGCCCTTCAAAACCAGCTTCATAGAGTCTTTCCATGCCTCGAAGCTGCCACAACCGCACTAGCATGACAAAAGCTCGATCTTCTTCGTAGTAACAAAGTAGCGTTGCGGTTAGCGCTGCCATGCCTTGGACATAGCCTGTTTCAGGCAAGTACAGTGACATTGCATGTAGTACGCGGAATAGGAGTCGTTGGCCTCCACGGTATCGCCGCCGGAACATGATATGTCTGTTGATTGTGCGCGGCACATCCACATCAATCTGTACGTCCTCTGCAGAACTCTCCAATTGAAGCTCATAGAAGCTTTCGATGAGCTCCTCTTCGGTCGGACTGTTCGCATCGGCTTTGGCACTTGCAGCAAGGAACGAGTACCAGGCGGTCGCCCTCCACCGATCAGGAATGCCCTTCCAGGTGCGAGAGATGACCTTAGGGTCTTTGGTATCGAATTCGAATAGCATGCCACCCTTGTCTGCCCCCGCTTTGACAACCTTGGCCATCTTACGCCATTTGTCGTTGCGCTTGATCTCCTTTGCTTTCATTGCCTGGGCAGCCCTTCCTCCCTCTTGCTGTTCCGCAACCTCGGCTAGACCAGGTGGTAGCTTGAGCATGTCACTCGCCTCATCCCTCAGTCTGCGGTCTCGGTTGTGGGGTAGCCTGTTTGTCGCGTGCCGCAGTGGCTTGTGGATGCTGTGCGTATCTGAAGTCCGACCTGAGAAAATAGATCTTGGGGGTCTTGAAGATTTGCCAGAAAGCCGCCGCTTAGGTGAGCCTGAACGGGGGTCCACAGAACGAGCAGAGCGTGCTCTTGATGCACTTCGTCCTAATCGCCGTCGCCTAGGCTCTTCTGATAGCAATTGTAGTGTTGTAGTGACTCGGTGCATGCGGGGTTCGTCAGGACCGTCTAGGCCGTCGCCGTTAGATTTCGACTTGGTCTTCTTGGGTATGATGAACCCGTATCGGTCGACCTCTGCACCTTCAAGATCCGCCCAGTCTTCGAGACCACCAGCTGTCTCTGTAGGTTCTTTGACTATCACGCTCCCGTGCCGTGAGCTTATCAGTGAGCTTGTATCCTCATTGCCCTCCACGACCACTGACGAGCCATTGGCTGGGGTGTTGGTAACGGCGCTGCTGCCCAGATAGCTGTTCTGAACACTGCTGGTCTCCTCCTCGGGTGTATCCCAGTTCACAGCACTCTCGTTGCCGTGCATATACATGCAGCGTACTTTGCGCGACAGTGTCATCTCGTCGGCTGACAGTACTCGGTGGTTCGTTGATCGTGCGCGGGTCGAATAGCGTGAGATGGATCGCGGTGAGAGATGCTTCGTGGCGGGTGTGGGTGAGGGTGAAGGTTCCTGTTTGGGTGATTCATTGGGTTGCGCCTGCTCCTTCTGTCGCGGTGGTGTGCTTGGTGCAGGCGCGCTTTCCACAAGAAGGTCCATTTGTTTACTTCGCCTGTTTACCTTTTTGCCACCCAACATCATGCTGCCTCGCTTAGAGAAAGATATTTGCGCGTCCGAGGAGAAGTCGTCGAAGCTGCCTGTGGGAATGTATGTGTCTAGACCTGGGAATTCGCCCTCTTCCTCGAATGTGGCATCGTCTACTGAGCAGCGCTGCCGTGGCACATGGCTCTTGGAGCTAGAGGAGTGTTCATCTTGCACTACAATAGCAGGTAGACTCGGCGTCTTGCGCAGGCTGGTTGGCGAAGGCGGTTCGTTGGTGGTAGTGCCATTTGAGGTTGCTAGGGCCGAATCTCTGCGGTCATCGCCTTCACTCAGTAGCGTCCGCTTCAAGGAAAAAGCTCGAGGTCCAGGTGAAGTGCGTGGTCGGCGGACATTGGTGAGCCATGATCGTGACGCGAGGCCCTTGGTCAACGAGATGCTGTGTGCATTCGAGGGGACCGGTGACAACTGATTCGAGGCCTCGGACGTCTCCACCGCGGCGTGGCCAGAGGGAACTCCAGCCTCATCTCTCATCATGTGAGGCGCAGGCTGGTCCTGGTCATAGAGTCGGTCCCTGGAGAGAATAGCGGCTTGCAAAGCGAAATGAAGGGAAATGAAAGGGTGTGGGCGAGACGGCAACCTGCGACTCTGCCTTCCAGAGTGCAGCGACGAAGGTATCCCGGGCTATGTTTGAACAACGTAACAGCGTCAATGCTATGGGTAAATGGTGCAATTGAAAAGTAAAGATCTATGCGACCACTATGAGATCAAAAGGGACCCTGGCATGGCTTGACTTGACTGAGGAAAAGGGGCGTCGCTATCAACGGGGTCGTGGGTCGCATGCCTTCTCCAGACTTGTTGCCGGCCGGAGATTGCCCAACGCGCCCGGTAGAAGGGTGACGCCTGCTCACTTGATCGTTGACCGGCCCGTACCTGCCTCAACCACGACATCCTATATTCCTTTGTTCCTCACCGCATCACCGCTTCACACCTCTTGGGTTTTGCCTTCGTAATTCTTCATAGAGACATGATGCGTAGATACCGAGCTTCCTGCAATCAGGGCTCGAGATGCCCCGCTGAGCCGTCGCGACACCCCACAAAAGCCAAAACCCGGCGATGATCGCGGTTCCACATGTCAAATAAACTTTCCGATGATGGCTCCTGAAAGCGGATTCGAACTAATAAATCCCAACATCATATTCCAGCTCAGCTGCTATCGTATCAGTTGTCATACGACCAAGATTCAAACAGAGCAAGAGCTCCGTCAACACAGAAAGAGCTGGATGCAGAGCACGTTCTTTCATTGAGTGGCACAGGCAATTACAGCCTTCTCGTGCTTGCCACGCTGACAACCAAGCAACCTGTTCTCTTTGTCCAACTTGCCAAGGGCTGTCTCATTGTGGTAGCTCTAACAGGAAGGTGCTTTCGACCTTCTCTTACTTGCATACCACTACTCAAACTATCACCAGTACGCTTGGCCAGTGTATGAGTCTTACAACATACTGCGCTTGTTTGTACGCCGGCAACACGTATTCTGATCGACCCGAAGAGGAAGGGTTTCGATATATGCGTATTACAGTGAGTTGAACAGTCGTGTTGAGTTCTAGGGACAACGAGAAGTCTTTCGCAGAGGCTCAGAGAGCCGCGTGGCCATGTAACGTCTGTCGAAACTTTTCCAAAGACGCTTATTCACTTCGAGCAACTACTCGTACTACCGGGCGGCACAGTGGTTTAGTGTAACAACGCTGATTTGGGCGCTCGCGAAGACTGTTCTGGGTTTCTGTGGCCTGATGAAGATTCGGCACCAACTGCATTTTCGAGCCATGTATGGCAGCAAATCTTGTCCTTGCGGTAAATCCATACGAAACTTGTTGGTATGCGGGTCCCAGTACTTGCTACACCTTCCATATGCCTGTAGATCCTAGCAAACACCTCTGCTGAGGCTATCTTCCAAGGATCACGACCTACCCAGAAAGACCGTCGGAAGTCGAAAAAAATCTTGTTTCACACTAGAGATTTCCGTAAATCCCTTCCTATTTGATCGTCGGTCTTAACACAAGCATACCTTCGTTGATGCTGATGCTATCTTGACTTGGTTGGTTTTTCATCAGGCTACTAACAGCTTTGAGAAGTGGGTTTTCTTATACAGTCATCAACAAGCGTTACATCCCATCGTAGTCTGGATAGCTTACTCCAACTGACAATGTTTCTTGCCGATAATGTAAGCAATCTGCGATTCCAGTATGAATCCGCTCATCTGCATCGGCCGTCACAGCATGGTTCTAGCACGAGCATATCCTTCTCAACTTCAACCAACCAGGTCCATCATCATCCCCAGATGTGTCCAACGAACGATTGTTCCTGCAAAGAAGCCCCACTCTGAATTCGTGAACCGTGGGGCATGCACCCAGCTACCCCTCATCGCTTTTCAGCGTGTCGTCAGTAAGCGGCTATGCATTAATGTTCAATTGCGGGGAACATGCGACGAACATCACACGATTGGCATAACCAAGGAACTTTGCGTAGAAAGAAATGGTGTGAGAACACATAAAAGTAAAGTATTCCATTTAGACGTGTCTGAGTAAAGGGCTACTGGTGATGGCATCTTCCCTAGATCTGGTCAATCAGGCTCCCGAGGTATGCGACTGGAAGTCATTGCGACATACAATATGACTGACGATTAATTCCAGGGAACTAAACTATGGGCACGTTACTCTGCGTCTCCCTTATCTACCACGAACCTAACACTACTGTCATCAGGTCCTCCACCTCGGCATACTCGAATGTGACGATGGCTGGTTTCTCCGCGCAGCGAACGTCTCCTCACTATCTGATCCCAATCCCATAAGCAAGCGTCGCAGACTCGTCATGCTCGGCATACTCATCGAACACCCAACCGAAGGTCTCATCCTCTACGAAACCGGGGGCGGAGAAGACTACCCCAACCTCGTCGGCACGCACGTCCAAGACGTCTTTTCACGAATCGACTACGACAAGTCTATGAACCTAGACGAGCAAATCGCCTTGACCGGTCACAAGATCGACGACGTGAAGATGGTCATCATAGGTCACTTACACCTCGATCATTCTGGTGGCCTTGACCATTTCAAAGGCAAAAACATACCCGTCTACGTTCATGAGCTCGAGCTCAAACATGCCTTTTATAGCGTTGCTACAAAGACTGATCTCGGGGTTTACCTTCCCCACTACCTTACTTTCGACATCAACTGGGTTCCTTTCCATGGCCCGTACTACGAAATCGCTCCCGGCATAAACCTGCACCATGCGCCTGGACACACACCCGGACTGACGATCATGCAGGTAAACTTGAAGGAGAGTGGGACCTGGATTTTCACAAGTGATCAGTATCATGTCAAAGAAAACTACCGGGATAGCATACCGCAGGGTTGGTTGGCACGGGATCACGACGCGTGGGTTCGGAGTCATCAGATGATCAAGGGATTGCAAAAGAGAACGAGTGCGAAAGTGGTGCTAGGTCATTGCTGGGATACTATTAAAGAGTTGGGCGTTGAATTTGCGCCCAAGGCCTATAAATGAGCGTATGTGAGTGGTAACGTTAGCGGAAAGCACTAGTAAGATTTGAACAGACTGCTCGTTATACTGCCCTGTTCATTTCATTCAAAGTATGTTCTAATCTAGGCCTTGTACCATTCCCCGAAAAAGTCCCTCATGTCCCTTACCATCTCATCCGGACACTCCATGCAAGCAAAATGCCCACCACGATCATGATCTATGAACTCTGTTAGCTTATCCAACCATTTCGTCATCCTTTCCCCTATTCTATCCCATGCGAAACGCGTCTGAAACCCCAATTGCAGATACGACATACCTCTAAAGAACTTCAAATCCGTACAAGTAGTCTCGACCCCGCTTTTCGGTGCTGGGAAAGCATCGTAAGGAAATGTGCTCACGCCCAAGGGCACACGAATTAGGTTCTCGTCTTTAGCGTCAAATTTGGTGTACATCTCGTGGCGCACATTGTTGTAGTATGACAGCATGCCTGTGATGTTTCTGTTAGTACGGCACGTATACGAGGAAGGAGCGTGGGAATGAGGATGACATACTGGTCATAACACTCGGTGGGGTGAAGAAATACAATGAAAGTGTCGTGCAAAGATCATGCAACCACTGCTCGTTATCGAGTGTCGCTGTGCCCAAGCTTGGGTCGGCAAGTTCGTTATACTTTTCGCCGAAGAACATCATGATACCGACGGGGTTATCTGTCGTGTTTTCAATGTTAGCTTACCATTCAGATTTTGGTCTTGCTCGTCCTCATCTTGCCTCACATTCATTTCTCACCGTGTCAAACAAACACTAGAACCCCTGAAATAGGGCACTGCAACATACCGTTGAAAGCCACCCCAATGGTCTGCGGCCGAGTTCTCATCTCAATCGCATACCCCATATGTCCCTCATCCAGCTGCTTCCCCAAGAACCATTCCGCTCTCGCGAGCCCCTTCTTCTCCTTCTCCGTCAAATCAGCGCCTTCGGGAGGTGCACCAGGACACATGTTCGTATGCATTGCTTTGCAATTGGGATATCGGCCGGAACCCAGTTCACGAACGACCCAGTGGCCCCAGTCACCAGCCTGGGCGGCGTAGGACGTGTACTGTGGGGTAAAGTGTTAGTTGAAGGGGTTTGTGGTAGGGGATTGTAAGGGGGTTAGACAGATGTTAATATGGTACATTTCAAAACAAGCCAGTCAAAGGACGTACACCAAGTCTCTCCATCAACTCATCAAACATCCTCGCAGTTTCTTGCAAAGTATGTCCTCTGGGTGGACCCTGTGACCAGCAATACCCCGGTAAAGACGGAACAACGAGATCGAAGGCTGGTTGCTTGTCGTTTTCAGGATTCAGCAAGGGTTGCATCACGTTTTGAAACCTATGTTCTTTTCGTTAGCTAGCATGCTTCCCTTCCATATGCTCCCAAATCTCCCAGCCTTTCCTGAACCCAACCCTACCCAATGGCAGTAGAACGGAGAAGGAAAATAGAGAAAAAGACAACATACTCAAACCACGTCCCCGGCCACCCATGCACCAACAACAACGGCAATGCATCCTTTCTCTCAGCCTTCTCGTGTATGAAATGTACCTTCAACCCCTCAATCTCAGTTGTATAATGTTTCCACACACTAATCTGGTTCTGCGCTCTCTTCCAATCAAAACTGGTTGAGCCAGTGGCCATATAGTTTGTGTACCCACTCAAGCGATGGTCCATAGTCTTCACCGGCATCAGGTACAATGGGTTGGGTAGGTAGTCTTGTATCGGCTAGTTTGCGAAACAGACGGTCGACTTCTGATTGGGGGATTGTGGGGTCGAATGGCATTATTTTGTCTGCCATCTTGAGTTGTTTCGCTTACTCTGGATGGTTGGATAAAGTCTGGATTATGGGGCGATGATATTATGGACACTTACGTATAAAGTATCGAAGTAACCCCGCATGTCAATCGATCTTGACGTCGATAATGTTGACATAGCTTCAGTGATTCAGTTTAGCACCAGGCTATTGCGTCACTGGGCTGTCATATGCAGGGACTACTAGTACACGGACTGGCGCAAGATGACCATCGTGGGTCGTGCTGGGCGGCGATGAGATGATGTTGTACAGGCTGGGTAACGTCGTCGAGTATACGAGGAATAGTCATGAAATGAGTGTAGTGAAGTTTAACAGGCGGTGATTTCATTCGAATAATGTGTAGCAGATGATGTGGCTTGGGGGTCCCAAAGTATTTTCGAGTCTCCATCGAAATTTTATAATACTTCAGCTGCCTCCAGCTCTGTCTGTCTATTCATTGCCCAATCCCTATTTCTTCTTCGAGCCTCTCCCGCCCCTCGCACTCTTCTTTTTGCCCTTAGCAATATCGGCACCGCGGCGACCGCCAGCAATCATAACTCGTACCTTACTAACAGGCACAACCCCTACAACCTCAGTCTCCTTCCATCCCCTAATCAGCTCAATCTCCTTTGGCCAGATACGCTCTACGTCCTGGGCGTTCTTGTCGATTATCTTGGCATCTTTTCCAGCGTGATCCCAGATAGAAAGGACCTCCTTGACGGCTTTACCGCGTTTGGTGGAGCCAGGTTGGATCTTGGCTTTGTATTTGTAGGTGGAAAGAGCTGACCAGGGAGCACATACGGGAATGGCCGTGAGCAATTCGTCATTTGGTAGTGGTCGCCCTGTGAAGGCGTCTAGGTTCTGCAAGTTTGTTTTGAGGACCTCATCGCCTTCGTCATCTTCCTCGGCGTTCTCGAGGGCGCGTAGGCGAGCCTCTTCGGCAGCTTTGCCTGCGGCTTGAGCGCGGAGATGTTGGTCGCGACGCCGTTGCTTGTCGGCCTGTGCTTGCTCTTCTTTCTGGCGCTTTTCTTGAGCGGCAGCTTCGGCAGCCTGCTGCCCGGACTTGGAACCTAAGAGGCGCATCGCTAGTTCACGGTCCTCTTCATCTTGCGCAGCGTACTTCGCAGCCTGCTTCTTTGCTTTCGCGCGCTTGCCTCGGGGCAGGGGCGCGTTCTTTGGTTTTGTGTTCTGCGTTGTTACTGTGCCGGGTGCCTTCACCGGGCCCTTCGCGCTGCCCTCTTCGTCGGATGAAGCCTCCTCTTGTTCAGCACCGTCAGCTGCAGGCCCTGCGTCGGATGGAACTCGGGGTAGATCTTGGAGTTGACCTTTCCTTGCTAGGCGACGTTCTCTTGCAGATAGTTGTCGCTTACCAGTGGATTTTGAGGTCCGTTCGGTATCTGCTACAGAGCCTGCATCTTCTTGAGGTTCTTCATTCGCAGCAGAACCACTTCTACCACCAGACATGGCATACTCGTCGCCATCCTTGGCAGTTACTGGCTCATCTTCCTCGTCAGAATCGTCTCTCATGTCCGTAGTCCTGGATTGGAGAGGATTGCTCCTGGGCGCTGCAGCCTCAGATTCGGCATCACTCTCCTCAGTCTGTTCCATCTTTGCATCGGGAAAGTCGTCTTCCGAGTCGGAGTTGATCTTTGCGTCCGGGAAGTCGTCGTCGTCATCGCTATTGTCGATCTTGGACGTGTCTGCAGTCTTCGAATCATCCGCGGGCTCGTCAACCATCTCCGCAGCGGAAACTGCAGTCTCTTGCACACGATGTTTGTGGTGGTTGGCCTTGCTTGAATCACTGATCTCAAACATGACAGCGAGACCTACGACCAGCTGAGCTGGCGGCAGGAATTCCTTCTTGCCCTTGACATTGAACATGCCAGCCGAGAGGAACTCGCCCGTCTGCCCAGTCTTGCTGACTTGATCGCTACGAACCCACCAAGCTGACATGACGGCTTTTGAGTCCCATGCGTCAGATGTACAAATGCAGAGGTTACCCGCTTGCGATAGTGTTGACGGAGGGATGGGAGCATCTGGAGTATCGGGCTTGTTCTTGATAATCATTGGCATCGCTCCTTTGACATCGGCATGAACGTATACATCTCCTTTTCGCAAGAAGCGTCGGTAGATGATCTCGTTCTGTTGGGCATCCTTGCCTCCAAGGACCAGGTAGCCATCTGAGGAGATGAAGTATATGTACTTTTCGAACCACTGTTGCTTGCGCACTGGTCGCAATACCTCCTTCTCTTGCTTTAAGCCCTTCTTCAGGTCCTCTGTAACCTTCTTCTCATGGCTCTTCAACGCCCTAGTTGATGCTTGCAGGGTACGATCCTCCTTATCGGCAGCTGTCTTCTTTTGGTCGAAGTATTCTGTTGAGTTCGCCCATGCGCTCAAAGCGAGGTCGATGTCGATAGCCAGTTGAGGCCGAGCAGATACCGCTGGTGTGGGAGCCTTCTTCTTAGGACTCTCGTCCTCGTCGTCTGAATCTTCACTCACGGAGCTTGTCTCGTTACCCTCATCTTCTCCCTCTTGCCCCTCCTCCCAGTTGGTCTCGTCTAGTAGTAGGGTGACAGTGTTCTCATGCAGTTTCAGCGGTAGTTTGATGAGTTGCGCGACCGCATTGCCGGAGTTTTGCTCACGCTCGATCAAGCGCGCAATATCGACCCAATCCATGCCTTGCCTGATCAATCCATTGATAGCTTCGGTAGCTTCGGTAACACGATGCACGTTTGCCAGTATCGCTTCCGCCTTGCGGAAATTAAGATCTTGCACTTGCTGTAATCCACCAATTCGATCCTCGTGTTCTTTGCGTGCCTTTTCCAGCTTCTTCTTGGCCTGTTGTTCGCGCTCCGTCAACTTGGACTCCAGCTTCTGTCCTTCTATCGAGGAGAAGAATTCGTCTACCGCCTTGTTGAAACCATCAAACTCGAGGAATGTGTAGTCGGAGTTCTCAAACTGCTGCGGACGGAAAGGATGGAAGTCATCGTACAGTAATTTTGATTTTTCGGACGCCTCATCATCGGCCGTAGGTGCAGACGGATTTGGCTTAGCTAGAATGTAGCCCTTGATCTGGTCTGGTGTTGTGATCTCGTCGGTGATCTTCCTTGCGTTCTTGAGCACCTCTACAAGCTTATCCAGAAGACTGTCATCAGCGAGTACCTCCTCGGGCTTGAGGGTCGAATCGAAGTTTGCAATGTGCAGCGCATGGTCTACTAGCAAAGGAGGACATTCGGTGATGGAAACAGCCAGCGCCTTCCTCAAAGAATCCTTGCCTGCCTTCTTCGCCTTCTTTCCTGTTGCTACAGGCTGATCTTGTTGTTTATTAACCGCCTTCTGTAGTCCCTGACGCACCCGCTCCTGTGTAAGCTCTGGAGCGCCACCGTAATTCTGTCGCAGGGTCAGGTTATATTTCAGGCCGACCCTCAGCCTCTCGTGTTCCTCGCCTTCATCCACATTGCGCAACAGAGACAATACGTTCAGATCGGCATCGGTCAGAACGATGTTGCCGCCAGCGTAGAACTCCAAGTACAGCCTGTACAATCCATCGGAGAATTGGAACTCTAGGATGCGGTCGGTACCGATCTGGGCGATTGAGGTGATTCGCCTTGTTTTCAGATATTTGCGCAGCTTTGCGACAAAGGCGGAAGGCGCAGCGGCCGTTGTTCGCGCATATTCGGTAAGGTGGCAGCGGAAGCCGGAGTCGATGAGGAGCTGTTCACGGTGATCGGGCTTGTGGAACTTGATGAGGAAGATTCTCTACTCAAACATCAGCAAGAAGGCCACACTGCGTTGGTAGTAAGTCGGTCGATGCATACAGAGCTCAGATCATAGACATTGGTGACTCGGAGCGAAGTGAGTTTGGCGGAAAGCTCATGGGCTATGACCTAGCCAACTGTTAGAAACATGTCTTTATTCACATGGACTGGAACTACTCGCCTTGACGTCCAAGCTGGAAAACCTCTGCTTCATGGTGATGTCGTGTGCAGAGTCTGTGGTTAGTGGGGTTGCCGACTGTTGGTGGGCTGCGGCGATGACGAAGGTCCGCAAGTAGCGCGATTGCAAGGGTCATGGAAAATGCATGTGGTTCCTGGCCTAAACGCTTACTAACGGCCTCTTTCACATTCAAGGGGAAAACACAGGTCTGTGCGAGACGTCAGTAGAAGCTGGATATATTCATCGGATCTTTATCTTGTGTAGCGCGCTACCTACTCTACCATGCGCCACGTCCAGGGCCATACCAGTCACAATGCCAGATGCATTTTATCCCAAACTCCAACAACGCCATGCCCAGCAAACAGAATGCGCTTAAAGACCTTGCCGTATCCTCTCCGCAAGCTGTCTTTTACCGAATTCCCATGCGTTCAAGAATCCTTGTTCCGAGAGATCGATGTTCTTCATCGACGTCATGTCTTGCGCTGGAGGCTTGCTGACACGCGAGGCGACAATGACGGGGTCGGTTTCGAGGATAATACCATCATCTACGAGCTCATCGACGGCGAGGGACTGCGGATGTTAGCTAGAGCAACTCAGAGACGTCGTCGCTGTTGATACATACCACGAGGTCGTAGTTCTCGATAACGGTGCGCTTGTCGACCGAGTTCCTGCAACGTGTTAGATAATCCGGCGAGCCACTCCAGGATAGACGTACTTCAGGAGAATGTTGAGCGAGTCCCTCAAGGCCAGGACGACACTAGACATGTGTTAGCTCAAGGTCCAGCACCCCAAGGTGTGCCATGGCCATACCTGTACAACAGGACTTCATTCTCCTCGGCGCTCCCAACCACGTAGAGCATGACGTCCGACTCCATCTTGAAGACAATGACCTTTCCGTCATATAATATAATGTCCGTGGTCTGTTTGGCCGTCTTCTCTGTGCAACGTGTCAGACGAACAGGCCAGTAGCTCTATATCCACATGGTCTACAAACCCAACAGTCCCTTCTCAAAAGCCTTCTGGTCCTTGACCGTCTTGTATGCGATCTGGCCGGGGTAGTCATTCTGGTGGCCGGCTGGCGGGTGCGGGTTCGAGTAGTACTTGGTGAGGATACGGGAGCCGTCGTCGATGGCGAGGACCAGGATCGCCTGGACGCTGAAGAGAGACAGAGGGCGCGACATGGTCGAGGACGTGTAGATTGGCTCGTGTAGGCGTCAATGGGGTCAGCTCTGGTAGAGACGCGGTGGGGGGTTTTGGTTGATAGGTGTCTGCTTGCGGAGAAGCGGCCAATCACGGAGGTCGTGCGCCCTGGGCCTTAGCGCGCCATCTGAACTTTTGAGACGGTGCGACCATCAGCGGGCGCATCGCAAGCATCGAAGCCAGTATATCGCGAATATGCACAAATTATCGCGAACATCGCTCGCCTCTCTGGTCTGCCCATCGGCCCCGTTTCTTGCGCCTCGTCTTCTTCGCACAGTGGTACCGGCTGCCGTGGCATCAGCACAATGCCCACCATCTACAGGCTTACAGAGGGCGACTTATGCGACAGCAAGAGAGGGTAAAAGTGTGATTCGAAAGATTGACCCCAAGAAAGGAAAACTAAAGTCTTTCGCTCCCCGGCTGTCCCAGGAAGAACTCGAGGTAGGACCAATCGTCTCGTTCGAGAACTGCGCTCACAACACCAGACAGTCCGCCTAGTCAAGAAGTTCCGGGAAGCCTGCGATGTTCGAAATGTTCAGCTTGTTATGGAACTCTACCCCACGCTACTCGCAGCCAAACTCCTGAATAGCTACGACACGCGACGCATCACCCAAGTCCTTCACGTACGCATACGGAACGAACACAACCCAAGCAAGCGAGACGAACTCTTCCCCTTCGTCCAGCAGATAGTGAGCGATCTACGTAGAGGGGTACTCGAGCCACACCACTACGCATTCGTCCACCTGTTCGGTATCTACAAAGACGCCAAGCGCTTCGATGAGGGGTATGCGCTTTGGCAGTGGCTGGTTCAGCAAGACGAGCGCTATGTGTCGCAGGCTGCCTATGGCGCTGCGATCGAACTCATGGCATATGGAAGACTTATGAAACTGTCACAGTTAGAGGAACTGTACAGCGACGGACTAAAGCGCTTCCCAGGTACCTTTGCTGAGTATCATCTCTCGCCTGACGCCATCGTGCCCGACCGAACCCAACTTACTACAATCTCCGGCATTCCTACTATTCTCCTCCAGGGCATACTCACAGCACGCATACTGGCTCGTGATTGGAAAAAGGCGTATCTGGCGCTAGACACCGCGCTCCGCATGTATCCCACCCAGACTCCAACGCGCTACTTTGAGCTGTTTATGACCGAAAGGCCTATATCCGAGGGATACACAGCTTTCATGCTAGCTTGCCGTGCTGGAATCGCTATGAGACCGACTCATGTCACCGCACTAATTACAAAACTCCGAGCGGCAATGGGAGCGTCACAATCCATGGCTGATCGGGTCATGCTGCTTCGGGCCATTGCGAATGTGATATACGGGCACCTGGAGGCTGGAGGAAATCTCGAAAGCATCCATGTCGGGTCATTCTTTCGTGCCTTCGAACTGTTACTGCCAGGCCCCATCGCTGGTGAAGATTATGTTGGAGAAGCAGCAGAGATGCGCAATATCCTTGTAGTCACAGCGCATGAGATGATGTCGGAACTGATACAAGCTGGCATGTCACCCGAGATTCAACCATTCGAGGCTCTCATCTCAATATCGGGCAAACTACGCGTCCCAAGTTTACTAAGTACTACCCTTCAAGACATCGAAGCGGCTGGTCTCAAGCTTGGGCCTATTGCAAGAAGGACGGTCATCACAACAGCCGGATTGCTCAAGAACAAAAAGATGCTTGAACAGTACTGGTCACTTGTTGTTTCAGATGCAGAAGTGAACAGTGCACAGATACCCTTTGAAGATTGGATTACTCTCACCAAAGCGTGCAGACGAGCGGACCATGGCGACTACTTCCGAACCCAACTTCTGAAGTTGCCGTATGCCATCAACGAAAACACCGAGCGCTATCTCATTCAGCAAATCGATATGCCAGAGACTCCATCCTTACTCCACGACATATACCAATACATGAGCGTCAAGGATCTGACCGCAGAGCTGGACGCACTCAAGACTCAGGTGAAGGACATTGAAACTGTCGTCATGTCCGGACAACCACTTGATCTCCGCGCATCCCCCCTATACATGCATTTGGACCCCCATCACCCTTCTCTGGGTCCCCAGGAGGATCTACGATCAGTATATGATGAGTTTACTACCGACCCACACCAACCGCCTCCACCACCGGCCACACCTAACTCACCTATTCAACCCGCAGTAAGCCCAACCGGCATACCCCTAGATGAACTCCGTTTCCAGAACTGGGTCACCATCCACGAAATGATGGACACAGCCTCTGAGTACGAATCCGACCTTCAGCACGCCGTCAATACCGCCATCAAATCCGGCACCCCGCTGAAAGACACCGCCGAGCTTCTCCGTTTGCGCAAAGACGCCTATGCACCGCGGTCTCGCGCCGGTCTGAGCTTAAAAATAAAAGAGCTCAGAGCGAGTCGTCCCGAAGATGTAAGTATCTTCAGGAAAGTAGGCTCCGAAGATGCTTACAAGAGAAAAGAAATAAAAATCATTAAACACGTAGCCAAAGACTACGGGGAGACTTCCATAGCAGCAGCGAAAGGAGCACCGCAGATTAGGAAGTATGTTGGGCTCGAGTCGTCTCACGATGCTCCCGCGAGTCTGATACGTCGGATCAAGTTATCGGACGGAAAGACTGAGGAGGTAATAGAGGAAGTGGATGCTGCTAAGGATGATCTGGCTCCAGCCAAAAAGATCTAATGTCGCGCTGTTGGGGGCAATGTGTTTGCCAGGTATAGCGGTTGTCCGTCAATACTGACATTGTAATACAAATGTATTTGCCTTACGCTACAAACCTGCATGGCCTCCTCATACCCGTACAGCAGAATATGTATACATGTGTAAACCTATGTATCATCAATGATGTTTTATCGCATCTTGAAGAATAGAAGTATTGCTACCCACTCCCCCGTACCTATCATGGTACCATGTCAAGCCGCCGAGAATTACCCCGAATGCTTACTATCGCAGTTATTCCCATGTTGGTATAACGTTTACTCATCATCCCACACGTCGTGTCATGCTGTATGCTTCCCTTCTTCGGCTGCTGCTACAACCAAGGCATACATGGGCTCGTCATCTTATGTGTTACGTTCTATTTCTAACACGTATCCGTCTTATCTCAGCTCATCTCACGGCGCGTCACTTCTTTTTTCGGGACAACTGCACCGGACCGTTCCCGCTCGGTATCCGAAGGAACATTTGGCCCGATAATGGTTGTGTGGCCATATATTATCGCATCAGTGTTCGGATGACTGCTGACTGCGCCAAATTGTGAGTCATGCTAGCTGACAAGATGTTGTTGGTTGATGATGACGTGGGAGTGGGATGTAAGTGCATGATAGCGTGGAGGTACTTGGTGAAGACACGGTTTGACCGCTAGAATGGAGTTACATTATCACTGTCAAAAGGGAATGTCACCACTTGTACAAGTACACGATTTGTAAGTATAAAGCTGAGTGGTAGTTGCGTATCTCATTACCGAATACCAAAATATAGCCAGCCTCGCGGCCATATAGCCGTCTCGCTGAAATCCAAAATCAAAATCAAAAAAGTAGTACAATCAAGTCAACTCGTCAAAGACGACGGGGAATAAGAAGTCAAAAAGTAAGATAAATGATGGCGAGAAACGAAGAGTACAGACACGCAGCGGTCAACGCGCAAAAAAAGCCATGTCAATGTACAGTCCAACGCCTCATCAAGTTGACCGAAACCCGCTAAGTGCACACAAGGAAGAACGAAGAGAGAAAGAAGGAGGACATAGTCTAGCTCGAGCTACCCCTCCGGCTATCGGCTGGCGTGCCAGGAAAGCTGAAGTCGACTGGTGACGGTGGTGGTGCTGGGGTCTCGTTCGCGTCTGAGGAGCGCGAGGTCAGACTCGAAGATGCCTTGAATGCTGCGCTGACATCATGGCCAAGCGTCGAGTTCGTGAAGATGGAGAGGCGCTGGCGAGGGTTGAAAGCGGAGGCGGCTGATGCGGGCATTTTGATGCTTTTGTGTGGTGTTTGTTGTAGTTGGGAGTTTGTGGCTGTAGTTGAGAGTGTACTTGGTACGTGGTCGACGATGAGTCTTGGAGGTATAAATAGACTGCTTGAACTGGTGGAGAGTGCCCGGAGCAGTCGACTAAATAGTTGCAACGGAAACCGAAAAGATTGTACGGGTCGGAGTTATTGATGCGCTGGTGCGATGCAGGGTAAAGTCTGTCTTCGGGGAAGGCGCAAAAGATATGTGATGTGTTGTCTCGGGCTGTGACAACAACTAAAACTCTGGCTGACTCGGTAACAAGGCTGAGGTGTGAGCCTAGGGAAGGGGTGAGTCAGGTTTAATATCAAGGAAGAATGCGCTGGGGTTGTTGCGACAGGGCTGATGTGCGGTCGTGCGTTGGCATGCAGGGCCACCAGAATTGGCGGAGCCCCGGACTTGATGTGCTGGGGCATGGGGAAGAAGGTTGCGTAGGGGGCTGACTTACTTTTTGCCAAGTGGGTGCTGATGAGTGAGGCGTGTTACACAAATGTGGTGTTATAACGCTTGTGTGTAAGCTTGGCCGAGGTATGCTTCGGTGTGTTTGAAGAAAGCAAAAAGGGTTGGGGTAAAAGAATTTTTGAATGTCAAGCAGATGGTGACTTGTATAAGGGATAAGCCTTGAGCCTTGAGCTGGGCCGTACTTTGCGATGTTAGGTGAATGGCGATATTGCGCTGAAAGGGGGCGCTTCTCTTATACCGCAGTACAAGAGCAAAGTACCGATACGATCGCTATTCACCGCTGGAAAGATAACCCTGACTCGCATCATTAGCCAGGGTTGTGACGGAATCTCGGAAGGGCCATACGTTTTGAGCTAAAAACAAAAGTATAACCAGCAATCAAATGCGCGCGGACACACGGGGAAGCGGACGGTTGCAGCTCCTTGCTGCGCGACCATCGTTGCAGCTGGAAGGTGCAAAGTTCATCCCACGCCCTGATCCTGGTCCAGGGTCGCAGAATCAAGGCTGTTCTGGGGCGTCCTGTCATTATTGACGTGTCTGACATGATGTTCTCGAAGCGAGGATGTATGCGACAAACAAGGCGCACAAGCCCGTCAGACCGTTCTGCAGCCTCCCACGCATCCCTCTCTATCAGGAGCCTGTTGGAAAGAAAGGATGACACCTATCGCAAACGGCCCGAAGAAGCAACCCAATACAGTACATTACACCGCAGCAGTGCGCGGGTAGAAGCCGACAAGCGGATGACGTGGGCGAGCAAGACACCACATTGTCCTTTGGGCGGCTTGTCGCAAGCAAGGCATCATCGAAGCCGGACCGAACAAGTCAATTCTCTGACCGCCTCTCCGATATGCATATGTATGCACATCCCACGCGAGGCTTGCGGCAGAGCAAGATGGGGTAAGTGGAGTTCCGGGCTGCATTCCCCGGATACCAGCAGGCTGGGATTCGCCCACTCAAAAAGGAAAACGAGGCGTCTGGAACTTTGTCTAGGGAGGTGGCTCCACTTTGATCATCAGTATTCGTGTTACTTCCTTGATGCCCATCTAGATACCGCCGCACCGCTCTCGCAACGGCTATTTTGTACCGCCTGTCATCGACTCATACACCTTGCCATGCGGACGAACCCAGATAGGCAAGCCGTTTTGGGTTGCGACACGGCAATAATTATGCAACGTTTGCCCGGCTGGAACGAAAGTTCCTGCAATAAGGCTTCGAGAATGCTGTTGGAAGGACGCTCGAGCCGACCTGTGTCACAGCCAAGGGATTACTAACGTTGGTGCCACCGTTCCACCCCCTTTCTACCGGTCGAGATTCCGGCAGAAAGAGTGACATCTCAGACCTCCTTCTGTCCTGCGTTTGGCCGCTTTGGCATGGCTGATCCAAGTTGTTCTCGCCAACGTCAAGGAAGCGCAGATCGAAGTGTTCGGCGCCGCAAACATTTTCATGACAACGTTATGCCGGTCGCGATGAGATCTCGATGCGCGACGCGTCTTCTGCAGGCAGTAAATTCGTCTCCTCCGCATCATCCGAACAACGAGTCCATGTTGTCCCTGAGAATAGTAAAGATTAAATTACCGGGCGACTATTCTCATGGCGCAAACCTTCCTCTGATTTCTTTTGTTTAGCGATAGCCTGGGCCGAGCTCACCTGTCATCACATCATCTCATCGAGACGCCGAATAGGAAGCTATGGAGTCGCACGTTAGACGCGAGCTAACCGTAACTCCAACGTCGTTTCATACTTGGTGAGACGACGTAACCTTCTACCAAGTAACCTCCGACATCTTTCATCTAAGCCTTATCCGCGCAGCCCGCTTTCCCCGGACTTGCGTATAGCCTGATGTGGGGAGATTGATCCCCGCCCTTCCGTTAGAGCTGTTGTCGGAACGAATATCCCCAACCATGATGTGCAACGTTGCTCACCGGGACCGCTGAGAGTAAGCGGTATGATGCGGCGCGGTGGTCCGCAAGCGTAAATTCGTATCGCATCGCAATCCGGGTTGTGCCATTAGCGAGGTGGTTAGTTTCTGGATGTTGCTGTCGCTTTCCGATCGACTGCGGCTTTCTGACGACAATTCGCGCGTTATCTGACCGACTCTTGAAGGGCTTTCACCGCAGCTTGGCGACGAAGCGAAGAAAAAATGAGAGAAAGTGGGGAGTGTTGCGGTGAGGCTCTGGACAGAAGAAGATGAAGCTTCGCGTCGCTAGGCGTACCTGCCTTGGGCGGGTTGTGGCAGTCTTGAGGAGCGACAACCACCATCACGTCTGACCTCCTAGATAAACTCATACATCGCTCGCAAAACGCTGAGAAAATACAGACATTCTATATTGCTCCAGTAGAAGACATCAGGTAAATACATGTTGCTTCGCGCTTCGCGCTTAACCACGTCTTCTTCGTCGCTGACGCAAACTCATGTTGACGTGGTGGTGATGTTGTCTACAGCGGTGTAGGGGCACTCGCCTGGCGCCCGTTTTCTATCGCAGGCTGCAAAAATCTTCTCTTGCCGGCAACCCATTACAAGGTCCCGCTGCTACAACCAAGACACTGCGCTAGGTGCTGCTCAAAGGCACAAGGCTCGGTGGTCTTACATTCACATGAGCAGGTGCATTTCACTAATTCCAGCATGTATACCATTACGTTGGCTGTCCGGAAGCCGATCCATGCGACGTGGACTTACAGAAAGCGCCATTGTGTTGGGACAAACACCTAATGGTCTCGGTAGAGGATATCGTCAACAAAGAAGACGACTGCCCTTGTATGGTCAAAATTGTCATTCGGTGGACGACCCATTTCTCTTGATGAACAAATTTCAAGCTGAGGTCTGCGAACGTTGGCTCAAGGAGTCGATAACTCAGCGAAATATGATATTACTCAAAGTTTGGTCATCATCGCTTCCTATCAGTCATTGCCCCGATATCGACCAGTCCGTTCCCAATGGCCGTCTCCGTCAGAGCCGCGCTTCCATTGAAGTTTTTCATGGTTTCGGAGTGTCTTCGCCAACTTAGCTGCTTCCTACTGTGGGCAAAATGAGTCCAGTATCCATTCAAACAGCGACAGACAGAGCATCGTAACGCAGCGCTCAGGAGTTTTCGCGACATGATGGGCAGCAGAGAAAGCGAAGCAATGATGTGATATACTCTTACGAGTATCTCCTGATATATCTGAGTACCATCGTCCCGAGCGTTTCGTCAAGAACGGCTACAAAGCTACAATGACACGTTCTGGAGTGCCGCCTGCGGAGCGGATCCTTCCCTTTGTTAATCTCAAGGATAGGAGCGACAAGACAACTTTGCCTGATCTTCTTGCGGCTCGTAGCCCGTAGCCGCCTCATGTTTTTGCCATGACCGAGCCCTTGTTCATGCCTCTAGGTTTATGGACGATCAGCGCGCGCCCTCGCACGTAATCCATCTCCATAGCCGCGACAATTACGGTGAACAAAAGGAAGTTGAAGGCGACTTTAAGGCTATGGACTGCGAAGACAATGGGTTCGGCTTAGGTCTTGGTCGTGCTCTCAGGTCCTACATGCTCAACATATCCTGTATGCTTTCCTGCTCCAATGCGCCAAGGTTGTCTTAAACGATCATCTGGGCCTTCTCGATACTGAGTTTAGTGATTTAGAGCCTGATTGGCTAGGTGTAATTGACGCGGAGGAGGAGGATGCTACCTTCGCGGACGCTGCAGCTATGACGCCCTATCGTCGGCGTAATGGTTTACACCTGCACAGACTATCTCGCTGGTCATTAGACGCGGCCAATACCGTCAAGGACGATATGTGGCAGCTTCGAGAAGATCCGAATTACTTCACAGATGCTTGCTATAGTGCGGTTGAGCACGAAGATGCCCAAGTGACCGATAAGTATGGCAAAGCGCGCCCCAATATTGGAAAGAAAGAGTTTGTATTTAGCGCATACTGAGCATTTTGGTTGCTCGTTACCACCGAAGGTCGATACTTTGGGATCAACTCGACGCTTACGCCCGATGCGTCGTTCAGCTCTTCTCTGACCACCCGGAAGGTGTGAGTATGAGGCCGCTCGAACCTCCAGAGCTCGTGGAGGCTATCCAGTCGTTTCACACGATACTCGAACTTCTTAAAAGAGATGTTATAATCGAATTGAGGCAACTCTCAGCCAGCCCACAGCTTCGATCGCAATTTGTGCGAACTCCGCTCGTGTCCGGATCACATTTGTCAACTAACAACTTCATGAAAGACCCGCCCAAGAAAGAGATGTGTCTACTCCTTCAAGATTTGTGTGGTGATCTTAACAAGGTGAGCGAAGGTGTCCTATCCTTCGTTGAGATCCGAGTACATCTTAATATATTGAAGATCTTAAAAAAGAAGCCCAAAGCACGAAATCTGCTTCGTTCTCAGATTGAAGAGGCTCTCACACGGCTGTCAGTTCTCACAGAATGCTCACATCTTCTTGAACTTCAACCGTGACATGGCAAAGTATATAACGCACTGATGTTTGTCGAAAGCATTAAAGCTAAAGTCAACTTGCGTGCGGCGGTGCCTTTACAAGTTTGGAACGGTGTGCTCACAATGGCTATGGATACTGGATTCATTATTTCACTAGACCTCGGCGACCCTTCAGACAAAAAGTTTGACTACCCTTGCTACCAAAGCAAGAGGAAAAAGAAGACGATTGACGCACTACGCAAGGGAGAGGGTAATCTGGACAGATTTTGGAAAGGCTTTAACACAGATTTCCGGAACCCCTCAGGAGTTGAGGACCAAGGGACGCTATGCCGCCTTCCAGAAGAGCGTGGTGCAATGCGTCGCACAAAGTCATGGATCGATGATCGTCCCGAAAGAAACATCGGTCATCTCTTGGCAGAAGATGTCTTCGAAACCCAGCCAGTGTCTCAAGTCTTCCACGACCCGTCGACAGAAACCACAGGGAACTTGGACAAGCTTACCTTTACTTAAAAAAAGCAAAAGACAAGATACGTCGTACAGCTGCCGTCGGTCTTGAAATCGAAGATGAGCCAACCCCCAATACGTTCATTGACCCGCTCCGACCATGGCTCGGCCTTGAAGACAACTCATACAAGGTTCTCAGAGCGCTATTCCATATTCCAGACGAAGGCGCAGTACCAGGTGTGATCAATTGGAATGCCCTCCGTACGACGATGACCCATCTAGGCTTCCCAGCGGAACCAATGCAAGGTTCTGCGTGGCAGTTCACTCCATCGAAGCAGCTGAGACAGGAGAGAAGACTAGACAGGGGTATCTGCTTCCATGAGCCTCATCCAAGCAATGAGATGTTTATTGCCATGATGCGAAGACTGGGCGCAAAGTTGACTCGAGCGTACGGTTAGAATGGCTCGATGTTTACACAACGTTGAGGTCGTTGTTACACACTAATTACCCAGTCAAAGTCGCAGACATGCTATAGCGCAAAGACGGAATACGTCGGTGCAGTGGGGGAAACAGAGAAATAAACACGACGGCGTTATGAAAATAACAGGTCCGTGTTTCGTGCGAGAAGGGTTTGTTTGCCACTGGAAGAAAGATTGCGCATGCAGTGGTTGTAGTATTCTATGAAATTCAATACCACTACAGAATTGCACATCCACACGAGGGTCATCGAGCGACAACGACTATACACTCGTTTCTGCTTCCTCACTTCCGTGTACGCACGGACTATTCCTTTTGACTTTCGTTTGAGTGAGTGCCGAGATTTTGTGGGGTTGCGTCCATCGGCATGTAGGTTCTTCGTTACCTACTCAATTTTGCACCACAGCTCTTACGTTCTGTTTCCGTGCAGTTGGAATCACACTTACTTCTTGTGCCAGGTGACGGTTGTTCGCGAGATTATCTGGAGGCTTTTGTGCATCTCTACGAGCCAAAGTCGCTATTCTGCGGTTTCTTCTGCGAGATGAGGTGTGGTGAGCCGCCAATTGATGACGGCATCGTGGCGCAACGCCGAGCCAATGCAACGCCGAAGGGTATCCTCAATCTTCAGTGGCTTCAGTCTTAGGTATAAAAATTACGTTGTTTACGGTATATACAGAATGCGCCCCTGATGCGAAGGCGCGCAATCTCACGTCTCGAAGCCACCCCGATTTACCTGCATCAGACGTTTTTGGTTGCTCATTAGGGAACACGATTTGCCCACAGAAGAACAGAACGTGTCCCCAAGATTCAATTACGAGACTACCACAAGCAAACCGATGAATTACATGGTCAGCCTACTGAGGCGAAGAAGAACTTTCTCGATGTATCGAGCACCAACAAGGACCCCATTCTCGTCTTCGAACGCTTTGTCGTCTCCGAAATCAACGTTGCCCGGATCCAAGCATGTCAAACAGGTCTCAACAATATCCGCATACCTATCTCCCATACTCCCTGGGAGGCGATCTCGAGTGAGAGTGGTGAGATGATCTTTCGCTTGCTCCCACAGAGGCGTTGACGCGATTTCCTTGCCTTTTCCAGACAGCGTCGTGAGCAATTGTGAAAGACTGCGTGTTGCAGTATTAGGGTCGTATTCGACGAAGCTACCCCAGAGACCAATTTCTAGCAAGCAGACGCCCAGACTGTATATATCGTGGCGCATCTCGTAATCGTCACGGGGATCAAAACCTCGACGAGATGCATGCCTGTACAAGTTTTTGTCTGGCGCATCATCGCCTCGTCGCTGCGTCCAGCCTTGATCTCGTCGGAAGTTTTCAAACCCAACTAGAAATGCGGAGATACCTTGTCCATCGGTGTGATCGAAAATGAGAACCGACTCCGGACGTATGTTCTTGTGCACGAAGCCGAAGGTATGCACGTAACCAATGGACCTAGCCAAACCTCGCGCTATCTCGAGTCGCCGAGTGGTAGACGTCGATGTCGGCGTATTGAGTAAAGTTTCCCGCAGGCTTCTAGGGTTATGAGAGGTTGGAGGCTCTCTGAAGACCAACGTCAAGGAGAGATGCTCTCCAAACCCCACTGAGACTGATTCCGCTACAAAGCCTTTACACTTCAGTAAACCGAAAGTGTACGGCTTGTCGGCCTGAAGTTTTCGTACAAGATCGCGGACATTACGTTTTAATATTTGCGGGTTCGCACCAGGCTCACATTGTATGTGGTTTAAAATATACCTGCTTGCCGACCCGTCCGAATGTGCTTTTGTCGCCACCGCGATACCATCGCAAAAGGGAACTTCCTGAATGGTCATTTTCTTTAGATCGCTGGAGCGCAAGGTAATGTGTTCGACTACCGAACTTCCCTGGGAAAGATCATCAACCTGCTGTAAGCCAGCACGTATAGCAATCGTTTCTGGCATAGCTGTACCAGTGCTAGGCTCATTGGCGCTGCCGTCTGTGGCGAGGGCCTGGTCAACTTGCGTATCTGCGATCCTTAGGAGCAAGAACCAGGACTGGTCGGCTAGCCTTTGCCATTTTTCGACATCTTCGATAGCCTCGTCTAAGCTGTTCCTCTTGCCTGCAAATTTCCATCGGACGACTTTATGAGTGGGTGGCAGTGCTCCATCCTCACTTTCAGGCTGTGGTTTAATAACACTCCTCAGTAGCGATACAACGATGTCCAACTTGCTTTGGAGAACATGTAAGGTCTGACCGTATACTTCGCGGTGCTCGTCTTCCATCACATGCTGGATGCGCTGGAAGAAATTAAGCTGCGACTCGAACCGAACCCAGTTAACGTCAAGCTGCACCAAGCGCTCCGATATTTCAGTGTTGGCGTGCTTCAGAGCAGAGCATAGTTGTCTCCCCTCTTTGATGTATCTGTTCCTCTGTTAGCTCCATCACTAGATAGTGAAGTCGCAAGTCTTCCAGATATCTTACTTCCGGCAAAGCTCTATGATAGGAAGAACCGCCAACACAAGTTCTGCCGACATGTCGAACAATACCCAAACACACACTTCGGGAAGATGAGATTACACCGGCTCGATAGAAAGGTATTTGAATCAGATTATCTGCTGCCTTGCACAGCCCGTCGCGCTGTGTTTGACAAGGCTGAGCTGAACGTGTCATATTCCGGTGAGGCCTTCTCGCAGGACCTGTGGCTTTCGGCTTCTGTCTTGATTTGTTGTTCGCACAAGAATGGAGCGCCGGTGGCTGCCCAGCCACTTGTGCTGCGCCCGAATAACATGCTAGGTTGACTCGAATGGCTGAAACCCCGCTTATTTACGTCGCTGCCCAAGGCCCTTACAGCACGCATTCTTGCCTTCGCTCATCGGCAACCTCCAGGCTCGCGTTCGTTTTATGTGAATGCACCGCTAGTTTACGATCCCAATCTTATGACTTCGCCGCTCATGAAGCTAAATGACGCATTTACGCAACTTACCAGAACTTGTTCAGGATTCAGAACTCGAAGTAAATGTCCATGATAATATCATTATCCACACACAGCCGCTGGAATGTCGAGACAGCTCTCTGTCCCAACGTTGGGAAAACAAGAAACTTCTAGGTCGTGGGGGTGATGGCATAGTCGTTTTGCAACAAAAGATCGCAGGACCTGGCGCCATAAACTTGCTAGCTGTTAAGGCGATGCAACTCAAAGCTGATCTACGTTCCGAAGACCATGATAGCAAGAGATACGTGCGCGAACTCGAAGCGTTAGCTAAGTTTACGCAAGGAAAAGTGAGTTGAGTAACAACATTATTTCACAGTTTACTGATGCTGTCTGCAGTATGCGCGTCACTTTGTGAGAACATACGGTTGGTATCAAGATGGGGGCTGGCTCTACATTTGCATGGAGCACTGCAAGCACTTGGACCTTGGAACCTACCTGAGAACTCATACTACTGTGTCAGAAGATACAGCCAAGGCGATTGCTCTGCAAGTCCTCCAAGGGCTGTCTAAAATGCATAGAAACTCGTTCGCCCATAGAGACCTAAAGCCCGCCGTAAGCTTCACACAAGTCTTTTCTAAGGCAGACGACTAAATAATTTCCTAGAATATTTTGATACACCACAAACCCCCGGAAGACGATGAATGGTGGGTGGTACTTGGCGATCTCGGACTTAGTCGACGCAGTGGCACCTCCTCAGGAACGACCACCGTTCGGGGCACACCGAGTTTCATGGCTCCAGAGACTATTGGTAAGCCCTTTATGGGTAACCCGAAGGATGCAGACCCTTACAGTGCCGATATGTGGTGTTTGGGAGAGACGATATCATATGCCATAACAGGACATCATACATTTTCGGACGATCATCTCCTGCAGTACCAAGAACGCCGCATCGGCTTCCCTGATGAAGCTCTGAAGAAGTCGGGGGCTAGTGTTCGCGCAATCAACTTCATCGGCTCCCTGATGGAGGTGGAACCATTAAGGAGACTAACTGCCGCGCAAGCCCTCGATCACCCTTGGATCACAGCCGATCATCTCTCGCATACGGATACACCCAACAACACTGCTGCGAACCCAGTGCCTAAAAATACATCTGATTTCCCAAAGAAGCAAAGCAGAGCAATCATCATCAAGGACGCTAATGGCGAGGTTGTTGAGTACGACAAGCGGAAGCTTCCAACACTCAGTCAGACAACACAAGCTTCCGCGCAATGGACGCAAACCGTGCCCTCGCATTCTGAAGATACCCAGGCTTCCGCACAATGGACGCAAACTGTTCCTATGCACCCAGACAATACCCAAGCTTCCGCGATGTGGACTGGAACTGTCGCAAGTCCCGGAACGCAGAAAGACACCTCAACTTCCGTCTACCAGCCAACGGTCCGCCAGCGTACCGTAGAGACGGCCATTGTCCGGAAAGAAAAGGAAGAAGAACAAGTGCCTGATCCCGAGCAAGCTCGGAGCTCCATCCCCTCCAGCAGGACTGATTTATTTCTCCGTCAACTCGACCAACGGCTCAAGACAGATGAGGAACGCGACCTTCTAGACTCATTCAAGCAGTTCTCGGCCGCAGAAAGGCTTCGCACTTCCGAAAGGCAAAAGGCTTTCGCGCGCGAGAACAAAGCAACCAAACTGAATGATTTAAGGAAATTTAGTCGAAATTTCATGTTGAACACTCCTGTTCCTAGTGACCTTCTCCCTATCCTATCCAAAGATGAAGAGAAGCAGAGACAAATAATGGCCAACGATGAAGAGAGGCGGAGAGGGATGGAAGCCTCTGTTAAAAGACAAGCTCCGGTTGACAAGTCGAAAACTGGGGAGAAAGACAACATGGATATGAGAGTGTCACAAGAGGAGCAGAAGCAGGTTCCACCTGGAGTATCACCATTACCGCGACGGCAACCATACGGTAATGCGGCGCTACCGCCATCCGCGAACACCAGCCGTCGACGACCACCAACAGTAGTGCGGCCTCACTCAGTATCCGCCAGTAAACCTGCGTTACCTAGAAACCAATTTGGACCCCAGCCCTTTAGGGTTGTTTCGGGAACACAGGTACCGGTGGAGAAAGCCCTTCACTCTCCCAGCCCAACACGGTGGGAAGAAGCGGTGCGCAGACAGGAGATGATTGCTGCTCAGACTTTGGTGCAGCAGCCTACGGCTGAGGCGACAAGTTCAAGCACGACAGAGGTACCTAATACGCAAGCACGTGGCAAGAAGAAAAAGAAGAGCAAGAGTGGAGGGCAGAAAGTCGAAGGAAGATAACTAGGTGTTGTCAATACAAGGATGGAACATGTATATGAATTCATCAATACGTAACGGGCTCACTGAAGAGTTCACGTCTTTCACATGCTTTTCGTCTTTTTCACCGTCGACGAGGACATCTTCAACACCTGTTTCACTGGCCATCTCTATTTCCGAGTCTATTCAAATGCATCTCACATAACACTTCGACACGCGGTTGGCAATCTACCGTGAGTTCACTCGCCCAACATAAGTGAGGCAAGCGAGGCGGGTAGATGATACCCAGGTAAACATGACCAAGTCACACCGGAAATCTCCGACCTCGATACGTGTGCGTAGTACCGGCACTTGCCCGTTTTCTTACGGTACCGAAACAATAGTCTGGAACACCTGAAAAAAGAATCACGAATGCGCTCTTGTCTAGTTTGAGTGGACTTTTTCGGAAGATTGTGGGCCGAATTGGGACGGGGTTAGCGTGGGATGGTCGCATCATGTCGCTGTATGCAGTAAGAAAAAGCAGACATGTGGGCTGAGATCAGTAGCATCATTGCGCATCACATTTGCGGTGAACCAATACAGGGTAATCGTTGTGAGAAAGGTAGAAGAGATGCGATTGTGATCCCAAGTGATACTCACAAACTAGCTGCCGTACCATCTAGATCGGTCCAATCTATCCATCCCGCTCAGCTATGTAAAGAAAGAGAGAGAGAGAGAGAGAAACATTCAGAGCGCTGCGTAGTTCATGATCCATACAACCATCATCATAAGCGTCGTAGCCGTTGCCAACACATCGACCTTTGCTTACTTTTTGCGACAAGCGAAAAAAAAAAGAAACCCCAAACATTTCTGCTGCCACGTAGATCCAGCCACAACAAGTAGTAGAGAAGAAAGGGTATTACATCCGCCAAACGAAAAGGTCCGAAAAGCCTCCGCGAGGAGCAGGTATAGTGCAGGGAAAGAAGAAAGAAGGGGGGGGAATATTGTGGGGAACGCTCAAAAAAGGCGCGACGAAAGGAAGAAGATAACCGTACAATCTGTGATCGATCCAAAAGTCCAAATGGCGCGACCGCCCTTACGCATTAGATGTTGGTGTGCGTGAGCGTTCCAGTCTAGCAAACAATAACAATGTAACCTGCACTGTCGCAAGGAACACAGCAAACATACAAACATGAATCGCGCGCGGGTAATCATGCCAAAAATCGAAAGTACGATGAAGAAACCGATCCAAACTTTTTTGTTGAGCAGGTCTACCGCAGAGGGCTGTCCACGCTCGTGGAAAGCTTTTGGTCTGAAAATCATCCAACCAATGAAGGAAATGAGATCGAAAGAAAATTGCCAGTCGAACAAGAACAAGGATAGGGACACGCGTATGACGAGTTGAAGAAAAAGTTCGAAGTCCATCTACGCATCCTTGTGGTGCGCGCGAGTGCTGGAGATTCGGAGATTCTCAGTTAACATAATGGGAATTGGCGCGGCGACGCAGTGGTCGCTGAACCTCAATCCGATCGTCACGTGAATCTCGTACTACTCGGCTTTCGCGCCTAACACGGTGGCTGCGTGTACTGCCTTCAGTCATCTCCTCTGCTTGTCTCCGCGTTACCAATGCCTTTCTGTCACCTGAAATGCTGTCTCTTTCGCTGCCATGGTATGCGCTCTCATTATCGCGATTTCCACTGATGACGAGTTCTGCCATGCCGTCCTCACCTGGGATAAGTTGCATGGTGCGACCCTCCATGTCGCCGTTGAACTGCAGGCTGAGTGGGGCATTTGCGTCTACTCTGAGGCGGATCTCGTTGCCACCGTTGCTGGTAACGGCAGTGTGCCTATCGCTTCCAGAGGAGCCAGAATGAGAAGGGATTGATGGTACCCTCGAGGCCCTCTTTGCAGCGCTGTGGATGTGGTCGTTCAGTGGAACATCAGTACCGCGTTGGTTGTTGATGTACTCTAGCGCCTTCATCTCATCTCGCCTGGCCTTCTGTGGGACACGATCTTTGACCTTGCGACCATCCACGTCAGTAGGACGGCGGCGGGGGGGAGGAGCGGGTGCTTCGGGGACGACCGGGACATCGGACTCATACTCCTCCTCGCTATCGTCGAACGCAGCGGGGGGCTGGTAATAGACCTTTGAGCTGCGCTTTTCCCGTTTGCGCTCCTGCTCAGCCTGGTATCGCGCTTCAAGTTCTCTGGCTTCGCGTCTAGCCCTGCCTTCAGCTTTGGCGGTGGCTTCAGCTGCGAGGCGATCCTCATATTGCCTAGCCTCAGCATACTCTGCGTATTTATCCTTGTAAGACTTGCCGTAATGAGCTGATCGACGTCGCTCAGCCTTGGTGCTGTCGTGCACATAGACCTGACCACCCCTGGCGGGATATTCGGTTTGAATTTCGCGCGGCGGGGGAGGGGGTCGGCTGACTGACTGTCGGCGAGACGGTTCGTTTGTGCTCTTGGTAGTACGGTGACGGCTGGTGGTGCGGTCGTCGTTGACAATGACAGGCTGCGACTTGCGGCGGTCAGCACGAACTTGATCGAGGTCCGAGGTGGTATAAGCGTGGGACATGGATGGACGCGACAGCTTCTTGGTCTTGCTCTTAGGCTTCGCTTTGGACTTGGTCCGCTCCAGCTTTTGAGTAGGAGGGGGCATGAGCGCGCGGTGGGCATAAGGATCGTCGGGCTGAGGTTCAGGCTCATAGGCATCCTCTTCGTCAGACGATCCAGTCTCGGATCCGCTATAGCTTTCGTAGGCTTCGCCCTGGAGCTGCTTCTGGGGTGGAAACCTGGGCTGTGTGGCGCTCTGAGGCTGGCCACGCCTTGCCGAGTACTGATCACGTGGGGCTTGGTCGATGACAGGTGGAGGTGCGGGTCCATTGCGTGCGAGATTGGTTGAATTGCGGTGTGTCATGCCTGGCCTTTGCATGCCGTCGTAAGGCTGTTGAGGCATCTGGTAGCCGTATGGAGGGGGATAGCCAGATGCCGTCGAATAGGGAATGTGTGGAGGACCCATCGGACCTGGGTAACCTTGACGGTAAAGCGCGGACTGAGAAGGAGGCGGGCCATGTTCTTGTGGCTGGTATCCAGGCGCTCCTTGAGTCCAGTGGTACTGGGGCCCAGGCTCACCACTGAAGCTAACCGGTCGAGAGACTGACGGGCGACGACGTGTCGTGGCTGGCTGGATGACGGCGGCTCCATGCCCGTAGTAGGACTGGCGATGGTACGTCGGAGAGGATGGAGCCGGGTAGTAGGGAGAGGGAGTGGGATCAGAACGCATTGAGCGGGTGTCTTCTTGGGAAGGACGATTCACGTCGCGAGCGGATTGAGACGGGTATATGTCAGGGCGAACGTCAGGACGACGACGGGGAGCTGGGGCAGGCGCGTTGGGGTCGTACTTGGTGCGCCTGGGGTCGGCACATTCCGGTTCGACTCTGCTATCACGACGATCTCTGCGGTCCGGGCGAGAGTCCTGGGTAATGGTCGGCCTGCGTTCACGTTGTTGGATGATGGCGGGGGGTTTGGAAGAGGTCGAGGCGGTGCGCGAGATTGACTTGGGTCGTGATGATGAAGTCTTGGAAGAAGTCTTTGACGTTTCTGAGACGGTAGGGCGTCGTCGGGGCTTTGGTGCCTCTTGCTGGGGAGGAACTGGGGCAGCAGGCACCTGGGGCGGGCTGCGCTGGGGAGGAGCACTTTGAGCGGAATTAGTGCTGCTGACGGTGGCGGTGGTGTAGCTGCTGTACCCTGAGTCGGAGCGAAGGTCGAGGTTGGTCGGCACCCTCTCCTGAGCGGGCGGCATTTCTTTATCCAAGTCGGATGGGTGCGAGCGCTTGGTGGAGACGTTAGCGGCATTGGGCGAGCGCCGGCCCTGGAAAGGAATAGAGCCGCCTTCGCTGTCATCCGAGTAGCAGTCCTCGACAGTAGGCTGCATTTCCTGTGGGCTCGCCATCGTGGCAGCAGCGTTTGTTTTGGGGAAGAGTAGCGGGCTTCACAGGCGCGCAGGAGACAGGAGTCGGCAAAATATCTAGCGGCTCAAGGGCGCTCTCTATCGATAATAAAAAGCGTCGCGGGGCGATCCTTGACAATCAATCAGGCGAGACGTCGAGTGCGCATTATTAGCACGGGCGTAAGGCTGGGTGCTACCGTCTCATGAATACGGTATGTGCGTGGTGGTGGTGGTAGTGAAGTGGGAAAAGAGGATCAGAGGGAAGGGAGACGAGGGAAGCAGGAGGATATGCGAGGCAGATGCAGAGTATGACGGGCGAGTTCGTGTGCAGCAGACAGGCAGGCATGCAGGCGTTATTCGGGCTTCGACACACGAAAGTTTTCCCCCGCCCGTAAAATTCAAAACGGCGTGGTACTATAAACTGCCTTATAGCGGGCTAGCTCTCTCATGCAATGCGTCTAATCGTTGGGCGCGCACCGCATCCGTCGCTGCCCAGTCAACCTCCAACACCGTGTGGTTGGAGGAGGGGCTGTCTCTGCCGCCCTCTACGGCCCTTTCAGTCATGGCATGTCTGAGCAGTACCGCCCGTGGTGACGCAGCCTCCACACCATTTCTTTGCCTGTGTGCATGCAAACGCCCTCGTTGCCAGCCGCAACAGCTGCAATTGCCATGTCGTCGCCCACAGCCCTTGCAGTCCCAGAACCACAAACTAAACTACACTACAAAACTCCACCCAGTCCACTCTGCCGTGTAGGGGAGGCCTGCCCTCCGAGGCCGAGTCTGCAACAGTTTCGCCATGCACACACACACACACACATACACACACTGCTTCACCCTGCCACCCTGATGCTGATCATAGGTGTCTTCGTCGTAATAATAGCCTGTCGCGTGCCCATTGGCTGCTTCAGATGCGCAACATCCATCGGTTTGAGTGGTCGTGGATCGTCTCCGTTCGAACGACATGAAACCGGGATTGCCCGGCCCTCGTTGATACGAGCCGTTCGCCTGTGAGCGCTGAATGGGGGGATGCACCTCGATGCACCACTTCACCGCCCTCCCAAGAGCCACGAATCTCCATCAGAACCACGGCTTCAACGCTCTCGACGCTCGATGCAGCCGTCATGAAAGCTTGTCGCCCGCCCGCCAGACTCGACTGGCGTCCGCGGCTGCTGATCACACTTCGCCTTGGCGTTATCTATCGTGTATTACCACAACGCCCTCGATTCTTTGCAGCATCACACGGTGAACGGTTACAGGGCAGCCTTTCCTAGCTCCAACGAACTTTTCCTTGTCTTTCTTGTCACTTCACGTCATGGAGCCTCAGCAGTGCGTCGTTTATTAACAGCTAACTCTTTTCCTCCTGGCTCGGCCACGTCAATCGCGCTTACCATGCAGGAACAACAGAGCACTTTCACCATCGTTACCCTCATTAATCCTCAAGACGAGACGCATAACATGTGTCCTTTCGCCACTGCGAGCACTTGTTGTCCGCCCTCGAGTCTGACTGGCGCTGCGTTGCCAGAACCACGCAAATCACAGCTTCCCAGCACTTGCCCTGCCCGGCACTAACGCACCCACAAAGCAAGACAGCGTATCGGTGCAACACCCCCATCGAATCGCCTCGGACGCAGCTCTAATCACGCGGCCCGTCAAGCGTTGCTTACTCGCCTAGTCGTCTACACTACCCCACCAAAGTTTCCGGTGAAGAGACGCACCACATCGAGCAACGCAATACCCTCAACAAGTCTGGCCAGAACCAAAGCAAATGATGCGCTTTTGAATGCGACCAATGCGGCAACCTGCGGCTTCCACGGCACCTTGATCTCCAACGTCACACGCACGACGGCCGTTATTGCATTCGAGGCGGCCGCTGCTGCGCTCCTCTCGTCATGTTGTGATCGACTCTCGTCATGGCACAGAGTCATACACAAAGTACAGCGTCTTGACTTTTTGCCGTTGCTAGATCAAGCTTCAGACAGTCGCAGTAAAACACACCACCACAAGCTTCCATGTGATGCATCCCGGCCACCTTTGCCATTCGCTGCTTCACTGCTGTAAGACGAGAGAGTGCAGTGGTCCCTCTTTGAAAAGGCGACCGCTCATCCAATGCACCTACACCACCAGCCATGACGTTGAGTCTTGTGCTACTGTGGCTTCTCTTCAACCCACGCCTGCGCCATGCAAATGCCGTGATGCTTGATGATTGCCACTCAGAACACATTCGCTTCGGCTCAGTTGCAGCACTTTGCGCGACACAGTTAGTGCCGAACACCGGGTTATGAAAAGCACTCGTCGCACACGTTTGATGCCCAGTCAACCTTCTTCGTGACATCCATCCAGTTCCGCAGCGGGGTAGCGGACAAATACAGGCCAACGACATGCTCAAATGGGCTTCTGCATACAAATATCTTCCACTGACGTCTGATTAGACTCTTGGTGCGACCGGCAAAAAATCGGGGCTGAACCATTTCGGCACATCGCAGACATCCTGCAGACATCACGATCTTTGGCTTGAAGCCTGTGTCAGATTCATGCGATATCGGCAGCCATTGTATCACGGTAACACAGTCATGTACCTGCAACTTGTAGAACATCATCACAACTATGGAAGAGGAATTGCAGCAGATAGATTGTGAAAGCTGCAAGATGACACAGACGCCTAGAGATGACGAGTGTTTGTTCCACTTCCCACAGTCTATTGAACATGCGATGAAATACTGAAGACCATGTAGGCAACACAACCGCCTGCACTATGACCAACTCCATGTCAACTCTCGCAAATCCATTGTTTCGCATTCTCAAAAGCTTTCCGAGGGCAAATTTCTCTATATCAAAATCGTGGGCGCACTTTCCTATCTGATGTCGTCTTCGCCGTTGGGCTAGCGCTGGTTGAGTGGAGGAACGCGTGGGACACTCGCTAAGCGCAGCCCTGGAGCCCACCACAAATCCACCATCTCGTCAGAACCCAAGCGAAATTGGAAGATGGGATTGTGAACGCTTTCATTTCACAGCACTATCCAGTTTCTGTTCGTTCGCGCAAGCAATTCCTCTCTAGAGACTACATTTCTATCAGGGCGTGTGACTCACGTCCGGCATGTCACTTCGTCTCATTGTTGAATCCTTCGCTGCCCAAAAGGTCCCCAATTGGGTCCCGAACACATGGTTTTGCGGCTCATGGCTGCCCTACGGACCCACTTCCAGCCTTGACGCCATGGATGTCTTGACTCAGGATGCCCAATAGACCCACCCGGCGGTTATTGTGGGCGAAAATTCCTATCCTCCGCTATCAACTACAGGTACCACGCGACGATATGAGGGAAAAGCAATAGCCACGACTTCGAGCTTGTCAAGTGCGTTCTGCGAATGAGGGCTTCGGGTGAGGACTGCTGATCTGGAATTGTCTCAGTTTCCCAGCAGTTGGGTAAAATCTTGTTGTCCACGTGGGTCGTCTGCTCTTCGGTCAAGACTCAACCCCAGTCTTGACAAGTAGACGTCACTCAAACCCCGGCCAGCTACTCCAGCTACTCCATATGTTTCCTACGTGTGGATGCTTAGACGGTGGCCTTTGTACCGCATCCCGGAATGTGGGCGACAGCTTCACTCAGCCATGCTGTGACTCCACTACTAATCACTGGACTCGCTAACATTTTCGTTTACAGTAGGACCATCCCTACTAGCGTATAGCCTCGATAGAGATCATGCCCAAGATATCTGCCAACAAAGAAATTTGGCGTTCTCGCATGGCAACGAGCGACTTGTTGTATTGCGGGTTGGTCTTAATCGTAGACGATAGCTGATCGCTGTGAGGTTTTTAAGCGCGTGGTGTGGGAGTTAGGTAAACGTTGGGGGAAAGATCAAGTAAAAGAAGAAGTGAAGTGAAACATGTAAACAACGACACCCAATACTCCCTCTAAGGTAGAGCAAGATGGGTTGCGGTACCTTCTAGGTCCCACTCAAACCCAAGAATGCTGGCGAACGGGTTTCAGTAGTGCGCTAAGTGTAGACCGTAGAAAGGCAAGGGCAGCTGGTCAGTGTCCGACTGTGTTGTCAGCTTATTGGCATGTCAATGTTGGCACGCATCCTTGCGAGAGCAGACGGGAATCTTACTCTGAGGCTATTCGGGCCCTGTGGTTGTAGGGAGATGGATGTTTCATGGGTGCAGTCGCAATAATATCGATGAACCGTTCAAAATTGCGGTGCAGGCAACACATATCTGTTTCGAAGTGCCAGAGCGGCCCCCTCACTAATCAACATAAAGGCGCCAAGCAATGCGATCATCAGCTTACAATAACTGTGTAGGCTGCCAGGTATCATTATTACTACCCACAACACCAGAATTAGCTAACTGCAGCGGCACGGTTAGACTCTACCCGAATGTAGAAGAGGATCATAGGGATACACCAGCTTTGAAGCAGAAGTCTGGCCCCATTATGAAGGATGGACAGAAAACAGCTTCGCCCCAAATCGAGGCATAGAGCAGGTGTGTGTTATTCTAATACATTCTAATCACCAATACCTACAAGATTCATTTCTCGAGCATGAGAGCTTTATAAATGCTTCCATCTATGCTCCAGTATTGCTGCAGCTATTCATCCTATCTCTCTTTACCACCTACGCTTGTCTAACACTTCTTGCATCACCATGCGCTTCTTCCTCATCGTTTTCATTCCCGCGCCATTCGTTGTCTCGACTATACTCTCTAGCATCGTGGCTAGAGACCCATCCGCCGCTTAAGCGGAGACCCCTGAACAAAGCGGTCGCCTGGAAACCTTCCTGAACGAGACGGTAGTAAGCAAAGACCAACTCACCACCACCTTCGATGTTCCAGATCGCAGTATATTCATCTGGAGTAGTTTGACACTAGATGATGCTGCCTTGGAGAAAGTAGAAGCGTATCCAAAGCTTCAAGAGGTGAAGCTTGAAGACGACATAGAGAACGATTTCGTTATCCCACGTGGAGAGTCAGAAGTGGAGCCGGTGTGGTACACGGTAAACAAGCAACC